ATCACAACAATCAAACCAAAGAATAGATTATGGAGTGACGTTCAAGAATGTGTGCACATACCTGAACGGAACTAAATAAACTCTCTGGTCGCCATTATCAGAGGCCTCTTCTCTATCTTCTCGCTGAGGCTCCGAATGCAAAGAGCTCGAGGAAATTGCTCTTGCGCCGCCATTGTTATCATCATCCATTGTATATTTATAGAATGAGAAAGACACGGGTTCAGAAATGGCGGAAGAGATTTGCAGGAGTTCGCACCAGTTTTGAGAGAGAGAGAGAGAGAGATTTGCACATAAACATAAATAAAATTTAATTATTTTGCTATTATTTATACATATAGTTTGTGTTTCTTATTATTGTTTTATGCGTAAATATTAGGGCTAATTGGGCAAATTTGTGACAAATCACGTGAATTGAATTCGAAGAAAAAGGTAAAGAAAAAAAATAATAATAATAATATTGATGAAATTAAATAAAATTACATGTTTCAAACAAATCATATGTAAATCACGAATTAGATAAAGTGCACTTTATGGACTGATTTATCATTTCTGTAATTAGTAATCCTTTGTCAAATTGCTTTCCAATTTATCCTTTTTTTTATGTAATCACCTGTATATTATTGCTAATTAACTTGTTTAGTAAACTAACGAGTAGCCCGTGCGATGCACGGGACAGTAATTATAAATTGCACGTATTAAAACAATTAAGAAATATTGATTAATATAAAAATATTTTTAATAATAATTATTATTTTATCTTTTATTTTATGATATAGAATAATTTAATATATGATTTATATGTTTATTTCATTCGTTGTAAAATAATTTTCATTTTATACCCTGTTTATAACTAAAGATAATGAAATTTTAACATATTCAAATATTATCAATAGATAATACTCACGTAATGTTTATCTCTCTATCTTTCTTTACTCATATATAATATATTATTTCTATTTCTAAACAAGTTAGGCTAAAGTTGTATAATAGTGACAAATATTAATTGAAAAAATTCTAATATATGTATTTAAATTCTAGATGATTGAATGATTGGAAGAACCTAAAACGTATGTATTGGAATAAAACAAAGTTTAACTTATATATTATTAAAAACATCCTTGTACACAACATTATTTGTTTGGTCTTTTGGTATGTACATCCCCAAATTATAGTAGGATTCTAAATAGAGTTAAATAAATCAAATAAGTAATATGATTTATATTGGTTTTAAGAAAATTATATAATCAAATATAACGGAGATTTTAAAACGTTTTCTTAATATTATATAGCCTTATTATTTTAAAATTATAAATTACTTAATTTAAAAAAAAAGAAAAAATTGTGTAAGTGTATACAATCAATTTCAAAATTGTATTCTAGAGGGTTAACCAAAACCAAATTTTTAAGATCTTCCAATCCAATTTCAAATTAATATTATATGACCATGTTTTATGTTTTTTTTTAAAAAAAAAAATCCGAACTAAAGAAAGTAGTAGACAAATGATAAGAGATTTTAGATTTTAATTTTCAATTTGAAACTGGACCTCATTTCTATGCAATCCGATTTTTTTTTTTTCTCATAAACATAATATGTTGCAATTAGGTAAAGATGGATGTTATAGTATTTTGCCTAATTCGAAATGTCTGATTTTATGTAAACTGATTTTTTTAATAAAAAGTGGGAGAAGTTTCTTTTACAAAATTTACATGCCGAAATTTACCTAAATTAACCCGATTTTTACGCTATCCGATTTTGTAATAATCCATTGATCTATTGCAATTAGAAAAATATATATGTGATATAGTGATAGTATGTTGCCTAATTCGAAATTCTCAATTTTAAGCTAATCAGAATTTTTTTAATAAAAAATGAGAAAGAATTTTGACTTTTGTAAAACTGTAATGACCAGCCGAAATTTACCTAATTAAATGCATAAAATCCATGAATTTAGGGTGCATATATAGTTGATCAATTTTTTGAGAATAATTTAAAAAGAATTTAAAAAACTGTCAAAAATAAAATGCAATAAATGTTGCATGACTTTTTTGTTACTGTTTTTGGTAAATATGTTCTCTCTTTATATAGATATATATATACTAATACAACACTCGTGTATTACACGGGTATTTGTTAAAAAAATATTCTTAAATTTTAAAATTAATAAGAAAACTATATTAAATTTAGGAGAATAAATTTAAAAAAAAAAAACAAGTGGACCAAAATCAAAAGCTCGTATTAGGAGAATACGTTTCAAAAATAAAATTAATTTTATAATTTATAATTTATTGTAAAACGTATTTTAGTAATACGTTTTACAACTAATTAATTGTAAAACGTATTTCAATAATACATTTATAAATAAAATTAATTTTATAATTTATATTAAATAAAATTAATTTTATAATTTATATTTACTTGTAAAACGTATTTCTGTAGAACGTGTTATAACTAATTAATTATAAAACGTATTTTGAAAATTTATTTTATAAATAAAATTAATTTTATAATTTATATTTAATTTTCTTAATTTTTGTTATATATTAGCTTATTTAATGAGGCGACTTCGGGTGTTCCGTCGGGCCTCGATAAGCGAGTCGAGCATTAACGAAAAGTGAATTCGGGAAAGCACTAGAAGAGGAGAAGCCGCTTGTGGCATCAATTTATTATTTCGAGGTCCCGATCATTTATTTAGAGAAGCTTGAGTTCGAGGGTGCATATTAGTAAAATAAGTGAAAAAGCCGTTTACGTGGGTCCCACAAGGTCGCGTGTGACTTCGATTTACCGAAAATCGTGTTGGGACGTGTAGATGATTCGGACTCGATGCCATGCGGGGCATTTATCGAGTATTTTGGATTTCCGAGCATTTAATTAAAGAAGCTTGAATTCTCGTGGGAATAGTAGTAAAATGAGTGAATTTGTCAAGGACGAGTTTTGAGCGTTTGAGGCGAATTCAGGTGTCCCATCGCGCCTCGATAAGCGAGTCGAGCATTAAGAAAAGTGCTTTCGAGAAATCACGAGAAGAGGAGAAGCCGTTTGTTCCGTCGATTTATTATTTCGAGGTCCCAATCATTTATTTATAGAAGCTTGAGTTCGAGGATGCATATTAGTAAAAAAATTGAAAAAGCCGTTTACGTGGGTCCCACGAGGTCGCATGTGACTTCGGTTTACCAAGAATCGAGTTGGGACGTGTAGATGATTCAGGCACGATGTCATGCGGGGCATTTATCGAGTATTTCGGAGTTCCGAGCATTTAATTAAAGAAGCTTGAATTCCTGTGGGAATAATAGTAAAATGAGTGACTTTGTCAAGGACAAATTTTGAGCGTTCGACGCGACTTCGGGTGTTCCGTCGCGCCTAAGCAAGTCGAGCATTAAGAAAAGTGCTTTCGAGAAAGCACGAGAAGAGGAGAAGCCGTTTGTAGCATCGATTTATTATTTCGAGGTCCCAATCATTTATTTAGAGAAGCTCGAGTTCGATGGTGCGTATTAGTAAAATAAATGAAAAGTCGTTTACGTAGGTTCCGCAAGGTCGCGTGTGACTTCGGTTTACCGAGAATCGAGTTGGGACGTGTAGATGATTCAGGTACGATGTCATGCGGGGCATATATCGAGTATTTTGGAGTTCCGAGCATTTAATTAGAGAAGCTTGAATTCCCGTGGAAATAGTAGCAAAATGAGTGAATTTGTCAAGGACGAGTTTTGAGCGTTCGAGGCGACTTTGGGTGTTCCGTCGGGCCTCGATACGCGAGTCGAGCAATAAGAAAGTGCTTTCGAGAAAGCACGAGAAGAGGAGAAGTCGTTTGTGGCGTCGATTTATTATTTCGAGGTCCCGATCATTTATTTAGAGAAGCTCGAGTTCGAGGGTGCATATTAGTAAAATAAATGAAAAAGTCGTTTACGTGGGTTCCGCAAGGTCGCGTGTAACCTCGGTTTACCGAGAATCGAGTTGGGACGTGTAGATGATTCAGGCACGATGTCATGCGGGGCATTTATGGAGTATTTCGGAGTTCCGAGCATTTAATTAGAGAAGCTTGAATTCTCGTGGGAATAGTAGCAAAATGAGTGAATTTTTCAAGGACGAGTTTTGAGCGTTCGAGGCGACTTTGGGTGTTCCGTCGGGCCTCGATACGCGACTCGAGCAATAAGAAAGTACTTTCGAGAAAGCACGAGAAGAGGAGAAGTCGTTTGTGGCATCGATTATTATTTCGATGTCCCGATCATTTATTTAGACAAGCTCGAGTTCGAGGGTGCATATTAGTAAAATAAGTGAAAAAGCCGTTAACGTGGGTCCCGCAAGGTTGCGTGTGACTTTCATTTATCGAGAATCGAGTTGGGACGTGTAGATGATTCAAGCACGATGTCATGCGGGACATTTAGCGAGTATTTTGGAGTTCCAAGCATTTAATTAGAGAAGCTTGAATTCCCGTGGGAATAGTAGCAAAATGAGTGAATTTGTCATGGACGAGTTTTGAGCGTTCGAGGTGACTTCGGGTGTTCCGTCGGGCCTCGATAAGCGAGTCGAGCATTAACGAAAAGTGCTTTCGTGAAAGCACGAGAAGAGGAGAAGCCGTTTGTGGCGTCAATTTATTATTTTGAGATCCCGATCATTTATTTAGAGAAGCTCGAGTTCGATGGTGCATATTAGTAAAATAAATAAAAAAGTCGTTTACGTGGGTCCCACAAGGTCGCATGTGACTTCGGTTTACCGAAAATCGAGTTGGACGTATAGATGATTCAGGCACGATGTCATGCGGGGCATTTATCGAGTATTTTGGAGTTCCGAGCATTTAATTAGAGAAGTTTGAATTCTCGTGGCAATAGTTGCAAAATGAGTGAATTTATCAAAGGACGAGTTTTGAGCGTTCGAGGATTTATTTTTCTCGATTCTTTCAGTTTTTCGTCTATTCAAGAGGAGGTATAAATCTTGACTATCATTTTAGTTAATTTCGAGCTTGGACAAGTCCGAACGTCCCCAAAAAGCAAAGTCGCGCGAAACATGTTTAACATATTGGTCAAGAGCTTTGGGAGAATATGATTTCAAGAATAATTTGGCCATGGAAACATCATTGAATAGATATGAAAAAATGGAACTCAATTTCGAGTTCAAACGAGCCAAATCGAGCCCGAAACACAAAATGCAAATCACCCATTAACAAATCCTCCATGGACCATCTATTTATATAATGGGTGATTTGTTAATATTTAGCCCGTGAGGAATAGACGTAGTCCGAAAATTGATCGGGCAATCATGGTTCTGTAGAAGGGTTCATTGTCGACATACTAGAAGAAGCGAAAATCAATTTCGAGTTTGGACGAATCCGAACGGGCCTAAAAAGAAAAGTCGCGCGAAACACGTTTAATGTATTGGTCAAGAGCTTTGAGAGAATATGATTTCAAGAATAATTTGTCCATGCAAGCATCATTGAATAGAGGAATTCGTTAACTACGTATAAGAAAAAACGAAACTCAATTTCGAGTTTAGATGAGCCCAAACGAGCCCAAAATATAAAATACATACTACATATTCATTTTTTTCATTATTTTTTTAAATAGATAACGTATTATCAAAATAAGTTTTATTTATTAATTTTTTAAATATAAAACGTATTATAAAAATAACATAATTTTAAAACGTATTATCGGAATACGTTGTTGTTAAAAAAATTTAATAAAAAAAGCGTATTACGAGAATACATGCTTTTTATTTTTGTCCACAATTTTTTTTTTTTTTGTTCAGTTATTATTATTATTTTTTTTATATATATAAACTACCCAAAGTTAATTAGTATACAATATCTGTGTGTTACAACGGAGTTTTTTTATAAAATTATTCTTCAATTTTAAAATCAATGAAAAAAAGTGTTTTTAAAATTTAAATATTTTATATAAAAAATATATATTATATATTTGTAGAATAAACTTGTTATTTGCGTGACTTGCATGTGTTGTATTGTAATAATTTATCTAGTTATACCATATAACTACATTAAACATAAATATATTAATTAATAAATAATTTATTTTTAGTTATTAATATTCATAAATATTTTTATTATTATTATAAGAATAAATATAATTTATTTATTTTATACATACAATACGTGTCAAATCGAAGTTCATCAAGATGATTAATTTGATATATTATGCACTAGTACGACACCGGTGTACTACACGGGGGCATGAAAAAATAATTTGAACAAAAAAGAATAAGTTTAGTTATTGTAATAATCTACAAAATAAATAAATGGGAGTTTCATAAATAATAACATTAGTATTTTATTTCAAATACTCCAAAAAAATTTGTATACAACATTATTAGTCCTACTTACAAATTTTCATCATTGTCGCAGCACAAAACTTTGAAGCATTGTCTGTTCTTAACTCTAGATATGACAACATAAGATTGTCCATGATTGAAAATAAGTTTTAGTAGATACAAACCAACATTAGATAGTGTGTGTCCCCGACTCTTATTAATAGTCATTGCAAAGCATACCATAGCCGGGAACTACCTCCGTCGAAACTTGATGACAATTTAAAATCGGAAGGACTCAATAACATTCGTGGAATAAGAACCTTACTACCAATGTTACTACCAGATCGAACCTTGGGTTCAATGACACGGTCACCAAGCTGCGTGATGACTACTCTGGTGCCATTGCATAAATCAGAAGATTGATCCATGGTTCGAATCAGCATCACCGAAACACCAACTTTGAATTTTAAGATATGATTTGAAATTCCTGAGCATTTTATTAGGGTTACCATGCTGTTTTAACTGTAATTAACCGTAAAAAGTAGTGAATATAGAGCAGATGTAATCTTTTCATTTTACCTGTTATCTGCATATTTCTTCATAAAACCGTAATAATTTCAGTCACTTGATCCATCGGCATTTTCAGGGAAGATGAACTGAAGGTCTTCATTGTCTCTATACACTTGCACTAAAGCTGCCGCTTTATATGCAAATAAACCCATCATTGCAGGCACTAGCTGCAAAAACAAACATGAATAAAATACGACAAATAGAAAAAAAAAATATTTAAAAAAAAAAAATCTAAAGCCAAGCATGCTATCGAGAGATTAACCCTGAGGTTTAACCTGATTAGGGAAATAGGAAAATGAACACATAGACATTTTGTAAAAAATACAAAGACACCATTGAGTTTTGTTTCAGTTCTTGAAGGAACACTCCAATCTGAAGCAATTCATTAATTAATTAGACTAAATTTGAAGGGGTTGGAATTATCTAGAAATCTTTTAAACAGATACCTGAAAATCAAAAATGTCGTGAGCAAAATGTTGGGACAGTTCCCAAATACCATATATTGCTGCAGGAAAAACGAGCCTAGGAGAAGAAAGAGCAATGCTACTGCCCTTAAGTGTTTTCTCGAATGAATCTTGTAAATCTTCACTTCTTATTCCAATTCTGGTAAAATGTGAATGTGATCATTTATAGTTAGCACAATTGAGACAGTCAATTCAATTGAAAAAAAAAAGTCGAGAGTAAAAAGGCCTCTATACTTTTTTGACTTCTTTTTGGTAAAAATCTCTGGAACTGCTTCTCTTGACAAGCTATCAGTGTAATTGCATAGTAGTTGAAAGTACATACAACTGCAGAAATTAATTTTACCACGAGTAAATGCAATGCCAATATGAAAACCGACAAATAATACATTTCATACAATATTGATGAAGTTTAATTGGATATTTTTGAACTAGAAAATGTTATACCTGAAAAGAACTCCTATTGCGTAGCTCACAGCAGCCTACAAAATATATAAAGAACACAGCATATTCGATGTTTTTAAAACCATTCCTCATAAGAACATAGAAAGTGCACTAAACTGATAACTCAAAACAAAACAAGTTTCTTGTTTGCTCGAAGCAAGTAAAAACGTATAAAAAAAAATCATACTACATTTCAATTCTATATTCTATCGCATTCTCAAGTTCCAAATAATTTTTTTCACGCTTTCCTCTTTTTTTTTTCCGTTTCTTTTTTTAAATGATACAACCCGAAACATAACCAATGGCATATTTATATTATCGTCTTCTGTTTTCATCGATAGCTTTTCTTATTTTCCATGAAAAACACATCTAAAGTTCAATGACAGCATGACATACTCATATAATTTACCTGAACTGAAAAAGTTACGAGGCAGTATCCACTACATGCAATTCCTATGCCCACGGTCACAAAAAGCAGCTCCCTCTTCAGCTGCATTAAAAAATACAACAAAAATACACTCATTAAAAAATTACAGAGAATTTATGGTTCTATAATGAACTAGTAACAACATAATGTAGTAACAACATAATGTAGTAGAAGAAGAAGAAGAAAAGAAAATGAATTAACACAAACTAACAAAATTTTGCCTTCAAATTAACCAACAGCTATTTGGTTTTTATCAAATCTAAAACCAACCATCTAATTAGTCTTTGCATCAGCTTTTAGGAATAAGTAAAAAAAAAAAAAAAAAAACTCCCTTGGAAGCCTTTAGTCGTCATTTCATATTAATTCTTTGTAGAAGTGATTTACCCTATTTTCCAATTTCATCCCCATTTACCGGACGAGCACAAATTCTAGCAGTAATATATATTAGACTGTATCAATACATAATGAAGAACTTGTGTTTCAGAGTTACATACAGCTTCATATCTGAGAAAATTCAGTCTTTTCCTTTTCAGACTTTCATCTCGTACCTCCTGCAATCATCGGCATTAGAAGAAAACCAAATAAAAAAAGCCAGCAAGAATAGCTCTAGCCTCTAAACTTCACCATGTAATCATTTGACTAAATTTCTATACGAAAAAAAAAAGAGAGAAACAACGAAAAGAGCCGATGGAGCATACAAACCTTGGAAGTGATCTTCTTGTTCATCGGGGCAGTTTCATCTTCACCCGACAGCCACTCACTCGTTCTCTTCAATTTCAAAAACCCACCTTCATTTTCCTACCAAAATACAACCTTAAGTTGTTTTTCATCACTCAAACGCACACACACACACCACGAGAAGAACATAGAAATTATTTCAAACTGTGAGGGGTGAGCAAAGAGGAAATTGTACCTCCTCCAAAATCTTTAGGTCATTGAGCTTCACACTACCAAAACCCTCCTCAGAATTTTCATTGTTCTTCAAATTTGAACTCACTCCCCTCAACCAGAGCTCATCACATAGTCTTGACACAAAATCTCCATTCATCTCCCTCTCTTTCAAGAAAGCTCGCAACACATCATCATCACCGGCAAATTCATTCACTAGCATTACATGAAGTGCAGATAGTAACATAAATGGGATTTTCCCACATCAATACAGACGCCATAAGAACTCCAAAAAATTATAAAAAGGGGGAAAAAGAAAACTCGTGAAATGGGGCGCTTACCCGGCGGAGGAGAAGCTTTGAGGGCGGCGAGCACGGCCGGCAATCGGCAGCAAGAACGACGACGTATTGTGTGGTTGGGGACTGGGTATTTTGGGGAAAATCCAGTTGCTGAAAGAGAACCCATTTTCTTAATTGATTGCAAGTCGCAGCTGAGGGATTATGCAGTTGAAGACTCGAGGAGGAAGAAGATAGGCTGTTGATAATGATTTTTTTACCAAAAAAAAAAATCAAAACTTAACTTGCAGACAAAATAATATAGGAAAAAGTGGAAGTGGAAATAAATGAAAAGCACGTATTCAGTGAATACGTTTTTTGTAATTTTTAATTGTAAAACGTATTCCGTGAATACGTTTTCTTTTATAAAAAAAATATGAAAAATGTATTTCTTAAATACGTTGTACAGTGAAATTGTAAAGAAAATGTATTTAGTGAATACGTGTTTTTGATTTTGATCCATTCCCCCTTTTTCTTTTTGTTTTTTGTCCACTTACTATTTTTTATTAATAAATATATAAATTACCCTGTTGATAATGAGTTATTTACAGAGCAAATAAATTTTCGAACATCAATACATCATTTTTTTAATAATTATGAGTGACTCTATAAGTCGAGTCTGCCTCGAACTCGATAGCAAAACTGTCTATAATCGAGTGATTAATAATTAGTAAGCATGCGGATTATGTATGTGAACGTAATAAATATTACTGATTTGTGCCATTCTCTTAATTCTATGCCTATAGTTTATAAGTCGTTTATTAGTCATCATACATTTATTTTATTTTGTTTTATTTTATTTTATTTTTCTCCATCGCATATACTATCAAGCCTTAAAGTATGGCGTGGTTTAAATTTTAAATGCGTGCTCAGGACAAATTTTGACTTATCATTGTTCATATCTACGCAACATAAATGCACATACTCGCATATAAAAAATAAATAAATAAAAAATAAAAATGTTCATACACATTGTTGAATAATTGATTGATTCAAGTGTCACATACTGCACTAACAATTATATCATACTAGCATTCATCATATTCATTTGCACAAATATAAAATACGTTTTTGTTTGTATTTATTAACTAGACATGTACTCCTATCATATAAAAATTATTACTTTTTTGTAAGTTATTTTTATCATTCAAAATTAATTGAGATTTTAATTTTATTTTAATCATGCAACGTTTACATTAGTAACATGAATAAAATAATTTATATGTTTGTGGCATATATTAAGAAATTAACATAAATAAAAAAAAAATTATTGGTGTTTATGATTTTTAGAAAAAAAATGTGTCAATCATATTTTTCTTCCAACAATGCAACCAAATATAGCGGTTACAGCTCTGAATGTGCCAATCAACTTTAAGTTCTAACATTAGCCGTTACACATTTGAATATTTTGCTACCAAATTTAGAATTAATTTAGTAACTGATCCAAAAAATAATAAAATATATATATATATATATATATTAAGGTGTAACGGTTTTGACAGATCAATGAGTAATTAATTAAAAAAAAATATGTAACTCTTTTTTGAGGAAAATGAAAATAGGTTTTATTAAATGATTTATTAAAATGCATTAGCTAGTAATTATATATATATATATATATATATATATATAGAGAGAGAGAGAGAGAGAGATAATAGACAATTTATTAAGAATTTCTCATCATCATATACGAAACTATTGTAGTTACTAAATTTATTTTAATTGGCAAATAACAATTATATTGCTTTTCAATTATGATTGATAGGCAATTTAATTTTATTTCTAATACCTTTTTCTTTTGAATGGCATAAGGGAGGGGTTGGCTGTCCATGAAAGGTAGGGATCTTAGTCACGGTTACTGTGAGTCAAATTTTATGGCGGACTGTTTGGCTTTTTTGGCGGCTAAAGGTTCGGGGGTGTCTACCACTTGGAGCGTCCACCGTCGGAGGTAAACATATGGTTGCACCATGATAGAATTGACGTGTCGTATCATCGGACAGTTATTCTTTAGACTTCCGTAACCTTCTTGATTGAACCCAAAAAAATATAATAATAATAATATAAGTGAACATGGCGTAGACTTTAGTTTCATTGATATAAGTGAATTAAATATCAAATTAATGATGAAGTTGAAAAAGAAAAGTAGACAATAGGTATAGAAAGGATCCACTTAGGATCTATCTAATTAAGTAGGAATAAGGACTTTATAAGGCAAGTGGCCTAACGAAGTCAACCAAACTCATATTTGGACTATGAGCCAACACGTCAATACTTGCAACATGCAGAAACTATAAGAACAGATGCTAATATTTGGGATTTTTTTTTTTTTTGGTACAATAATATTTGGGATTTTAAAATACACTATTTGTGTATAACTACGGATGACTTTATAAATCAAGTCATCCAATGGATTCATAATAAAATTGGAGAGTTCGAGTTGTGTAAGTTAAAGCTATACTTTGCGTTGAGCAAATTGATCTATCAATGAAAGAGATATGAAAGATAATGAGACGCTCCGCGAAGAGATTTTCAAATTGTTTGCGCCTTCTTTTAATTTTGTCAAAATGCCAACAAAATTACCAACAAAATTTTTTCCGTTGGGGATTGCCAACGGATTAGCAATGGATTACATGTACAATTTTTCTAAACAGATTACCAACAGAATACTAACAAGATATAGCAGCGGAAAATTACTCTTTGTATTCCATTGGCAAATAGTGACAAAAATATTCCGTTAGTAAACACAAATAAAATACCAATAGAATAACAACAAAGTATTTCAAAATTGTATTAGCAACGGATTACTCCGTTGGTAAATAGCAACAGATATTTTTCGTTGGCAAATAGCAACGGAATAGCAACGGACATCATCAATATTGTATTAGTAACGGATTATTACGTTGGTAAATAGCAACGAATATTTTTCGTTGGCAAATAGCAACGGAATAGCAACAGACATCATCAATATTGTATTAAACGAAAATTTTCCGTTAGTAAATAGCAACAGAATAGCAACAAACATCTTCAATATTGTGTTAACAACGGATAATTCCGTTGGTAAATAGCAATGGAATGTTTCCGTTGACAAATAGTAACAGAATAGTAACAAACTCTTCAAAAATTGTATTAGCAACTGATTATTTCGTTGGCAAATAGCAACAGAATTATTCAGTTGGCAAATAGCAACGAAATAGCAACAAACTCTTCCAAAAATTGTATTAGCAACAGAATTTTTCCATTATCAAATAGCAACGGAATAAAAACGGACACTTTTAATATTGTATTAGCAACGAATTTTTATATTTATTTTTGACATAAACAAAATAATAATTTTACTTATTTTTGTTAATTATAATACTCAACCATTAATTTTTCAAAATTCATTGTCATAATGACATTATTATTATAATTATAACACTTAGAAAAGTAAAATTCTTTATATATATATATGTATATAATGATAAATATTTAATATACCTTAATAATTTTTAGTTATGTAATTATTTTAAAAATATTTAAACAAATTCATCAAAATTTATATTTTTCTTCTTAATTTATTAGTATAATTAAAAATAAAATCAATCACTACTCCATTTTTCTCCTTAATTTATTATTATAATTAAAAATAATATCAATCACTATTACATAATTTATAGTTTAGAGTTAATATAATAGTTAATTATTTATAATTTATTAAATTAAACAACTGCTTAAATTTTTGATTTAGATAGTTTATACAAAAATAAATTTCTTTTAATCAACTAAACAATATAAGTTTTATAATTGTACTTATTATTTATATAGATGTTTAAATATATGATAAAATTTTACCAAAATATTTCTTTTAATTTCAGAAAAAAATTAAAATGACAAACTTATTTTCAAAGGAATATAACATAATTTATTATCAATTAGTGCACCGTAGAGTTGCATACTAATTTAAATATACACGTTTTATGTGATTTTGCACAGTTTAAATTTTATATAAAATTTTTAATAAATTAATATAGATAAATCATATAACATATTTATTCCATATTTTAAATTTTTAGACATTATTTAACGCGGTGAAAAATTTGAACAATAACGTGACCGACAA